CCATGTGGTCACCTCAGGGGCAGGCAGGGATAGAACTCATGCAGAAGTGGGAAGTGACTTTAGCTTCTTAGTGCTGTACTTTAACCCACTGCACCACCACCAGGGAGGGAGGCCACTACTCAATCTTTAATAGATTCTCAACCTTCCTGCAAGGCACACAGGAGGAAATTCTGCACTTTGCTTATTCAGATCCCAATCAGTGGCATCACCTGGAGCAAGAGGGAGATTTGAGCAGGCAAGAGGTACTTTGGTTTCCAAGTCTGGGATGCACTGTAGGACCTCAGGAGGGCCCCTTTTCCTTCTGGTTTGGTCTCCACTAGGATTTTCACTTTTCCCTCCTGGCCTTTTCCTCCCTGGCATCCCAGCCTCACAAGAGTTGTTTTGAGTATTAGGTAAGTTTGCTCTGCAATTCCTTTAAAGGTCTGTGCTGAGGAAAACAACATTCACTTTGCAGTCTTCTTGGGAATTTTATTTAGCTATTGTCTCTTCAGCCCAAGGATTTAAAGATGGAAACTACTGCTAAGGAATCAAAACAACTCTTCAGTGCTAAAAGCTATCTGTATTTGCATAACAATTTAGCAGATCCAAACTGGAGGGCAAGGTCAGGTGAAATGAATTGTCAAGGTCATGATTCTCTGAACTGGAATTGAAATTTAGAATTGCTGATCCTGAATTGCTCTGCCCCTTGGATATCTCTCCTATTCTTTCTAAATGATACTGACCAAAAAATAAATAAATAAATCTACTGTATGTGTGGAAATCACAGGCCTGCCCTTAACCCTCTCCTTTCCTTCTAATTCTAGATCATTCAGATCCTAGAGGAAACAAAACCTACTGACCTTGCTATTTTAACAACGCAAATGACAGAACTTACTCAAAACAGTGATCTAAATGACTCTAGATCTAAGTTGGGAGCTGCCGTTGACTACTTGAAACTCTTTAAAAGTACTTTATATCTATTTTCTTGACCAAATAATTGCTTGGAAGTCAGTTTTAATCCCGAGAACCTTAAAGCATCGGGATCCTCAAATACCGGAGAGAAGAAATCTGGGGAGATGAAATGTGCATGATTCTTGCTTTAATACCCTCTGCTAGAAAATCCTTCAAAGCGACATGACGCAGAGAAGCTGGTTGAAGTCACAGCCACTTTGAACCTGTCCCGCTCAACTGCTGGATTTTAATTCCTCAAGCGCCGCTCCGATTCAGAAATCTGCGTAGCTGGGAGTCCTTGCCCTCTTAGGGCGCAGGGAATTTCGCAAACTACGACTTACAGCCTTTGAGGGGAGACGACTTTCCAGGGGCGCGGGAAGAGCCACCCGGGAATCTCACCATCAGTGGGCGTTTAGCGCAGCCAAGCGACAGGCTGGCGCCAGGGCTCAGCAACAGGGAGGCGCCGGCTGAGGCGGGGAGAACTTTGCGCTCCGAGCCCAACCACCACCCTTTGCTGGCCAGTCGCGTCGCTTCTTAGAGGAAGCAAGCGGCGGCGGCGACTGGGCGGAAAGAGGACGGAAAGAAAGGAAGAGAGGAAGTAGCGAGGGAAGAAGCAAAATGAAGGCAGCGCTGGGGGAGCCCGCGAGAGGGTGGCCGACGGGGGAGCGAGGACCGTGTCGCTGCTGCTTTACCGCACCACGGGCGTGAACAGCTTTCCCTGCGCGACCCCAGGAAATAAGTAGGTCTCGCCTGGGCGGAAAAGGAAGAGAAAAGAGTCCAAGTGAGCGCGTTGCCTCCTCTGACACCGTTGCCCCCTCGAAACTCAGGCTGTGTCTCAGCCCAGCCTCCCCGCGGGACCGGACACAGTGCTGGAGCCGCCCTGCAGATGGGGCGGGCAGGGAGCGGGCACCCAAGCCGCGGGTGACAGGCGCTGGCCTGCCCGCCTGCCCGGCGCGGCGCAGGGACCGGGCGGGCACAGAATGCCCGGCAGAGGGATCTGGGAGCCGGCTCTGGGACTGCCGAGGGCGTGCTAGGCTCCAACTTGGATGGCGCGGAGACCGCTCCAGCTTCTGGGACCGCCACGCCGCGTCGAGTGAGCTGCGCGCGGGACCTGGGGGCGGAGACCTTAGGCGGTGGCTGCAGCGGGGCAAGCTGGGCGCAGGAGGGGGCGCGCTTTCTCCCTGCGGGTCTCAGTAATGAGGAGACTGAGTTTGTGGTGGCTGCTGAGCAGGGTCTGTCTGCTGCTGCCGCCGCCCTGCGCACTGGTGCTGGCCGGGGTGCCTGGCTCCTCCTCGCACCCGCAGCCCTGCCAGATCCTCAAGCGCATCGGGCACGCGGTGAGGGTGGGCGCAGTGCACTTGCAGCCCTGGACCACGGCCCCCAGCACGACCAGCCGAGTTCCAGACGGCCACCCGGCAGGGCCCCAGAGGGATGAGCCGGAGCCAGGGACTTGGCGGCCCCCGGCGCCTTCTCCCGGCGCACGATGGCTGGGGAGCGCCCTGCATGGCCGGGGGCCGCCCGGCGCCCGGAAGCCCGGGGAGGGTTCTGGAACCGAGACCCTGTGGCCACGGGACGCTCTCCTTTTTGCCGTGGACAACTTGAACCGCGTCGGAGGACTGCTGCCCTACAATCTGTCTTTGGAAGTAGTGATGGCCATCGAGGCGGGCCTGGGCGATCTGCCACTGCTGCCCTTCTCCTCTCCTAGCTCGCCGTGGAGTAGTGACCCTTTCTCCTTTCTGCAGAGCGTGTGTCACACTGTGGTGGTGCAAGGGGTATCGGCGCTGCTCGCCTTTCCTCAGAGTCAAGGCGAGATGATGGAGCTCGACTTGGTGAGCTCTGTCCTGCACATTCCAGTGATCAGCATCGTGCGCTACGAGTTTCCGCGGGAGAGTCAGGTGAGAGGATTCTGGCGTGTGGAGTGGAGATGGGCGTTGCTGGGGGTCGTTACCCGAGGGATTGCAGCCTTGCTCGGGCTAAGGGTCGGTCCACAAGTGTAGGTAGTAGAAGGATCTCAGTAGATGTAAAATAACACATTTGCAGCGCTAATGGAAATAAAATGAGGGCTAGGGTTTGCAAAGGGAAGAAGTGAGGCTTATGTGATAAAACCTTCATGTTTGAACAGTTGGGAGAAACTTGGCGGATGTTGGACGGAAGTAAAAGTCGAAAGTTCAGGGTAGTGGAGCGTAATCGAGATTCACATAGGTGATGGAGATGGAGAATCCCGATTCTTCTAGTCTTTCAGTCCCTTGAGGTGCTCTGAAAGCATGTGGCAGAAGGAGCAGCATCTGCTCTCTTTGACTTCTTTAAAAAGGTTGCTTAAGGCGAGTGTGTGAGGAATCACATCCCTCTGAATTCCTTTGAGTAAATAGGCTCTCTGCCTAATACAAGAGCGATTGATTCAAGGGTGGTTAATTAGTCTTGGGTATGGAGATGACTTAGAAATGTCTGGTAGTCAAAAATGGGGTGGGTGGGGGGACTTGTTTGGGATGGTTTTTTTGCGCCTATTTTCTACGTGATGTGGATCCAGAGACGGGCTATTTGTTGTTGCTGTATTCAGCTTATTAATGCTCCAATTTATTACTAAGAGGAGAAGAATCTGGTGATCCATTTTGCTATGGGTTAAAAATCCTACATGTCTTTTCAATTAAAGAAGCTATTTGTGCACTAAACAGTTGTCAATAATGATTGGTTAAATATTAAGGAAGGGGCAGAATTCCTACAATAGGAGTATCCTGAGTTTTTTAATCAAAAATTAATTTTCATTAAGCCTTGCACAAAGTATTTATGAATAGGTCATTGGTTTTGGACCCATTTTAAAGATTGAGAAACTAAGTTCTCGGACTTGATCAAAGTTCACCCATCCAGGTACTAGTAAAAGCGCCCAGACACTGGAGAATTTCGAACTCTTTATAATTTTCACTCTGTCCTCTTTGCTGGAAAATTTTTCTCCCTTCCACTTTTGATATATATACAGAGGTAAAACAATAATGAATAAGGGCATATGCAAGTGAAAACTTTGGTAGAATATGTGCATAAAATACCAACGAAGTATTAGAGATAACTTTCTCTAGAAAACTGAACCTTACATTCTTTATCTTGGGAAAGGCAGGTACAAGTTACTTTCAGCTGTTCCCCAAATGATTCCTATTTAATGCTGAACTGTTGAGATTTGATCTATAGAGTTCAGGCTAATTAGCTCTTATATAAAATATTTCCATCACCTGAATCCGAATGACTGGAGGCAGCAGATGGGAAGACATGGAAAACACAGGTGCACAATGCTGCCATTGGCCAAAGTGTTATAAACATGAAATTGCATCGATAGGGTGCATCATTATTAATATGTATGCAGAATCATATTCAACAAAACACAAGAATTAGCATCACTAGCTTCTCATCATTACTCCTTTATTACCTACTACTTAATAAATTGCCAATAGTATTCCATCTCCAGACTCTTTCCACTTTATGTAGATTGTTTGTCAAGAATCTTAAATAGCAAGAATTTTCCCCCAAATTAGTGTTCCTTAGTTGGAAGGGAAATTGTGCATTACACAGAGCAATACAGCAAAGAAACTATGAAACAGGCATCTAGGATCAGGAGACTTCAAAGCTTTAAGACCCCTGGGGAAAAAAGTCCTCAAGGACAAACCTTGCAAGCTGACAATAAAATAAATACTCTGCCAAACGTGTTAACTTCCAAAACTCAATTCAGAAATGCATTTTAATCACTTTTCTTTCATGACACCCATCTTGAAAGGGACAGTGATTTTATTAACTCAGATCTAGTTGCCCAACAACATTTTCTTTCATGTCTCCTTATATTTTAAATTCAAACATCTCTAACTTACCTTACTTTTAGTGTATCATTTAAATGTCATTCTCTGATATTCTGTATTAAGTTAAAAGCCAAGTCATTGTAATATGTAATTTTAGGATGTGACCACAGTATACTGTCATCAAAGAATAATAATTGGTATTTCCCTTTCTTTTGAAAAGTGAACCATTCTCTAATATACTCATGGGATGTTAATTTTTTTTAACTTTATCATTTCTTTTTTTTTTTTTTTGAGATAAAAGCATGTCAAAGTCATTTTATACATTAAGGAAAATTGACTTAATTTAGCCACAGTCTTCCCTGGCATCTTCTGCCCTGTGACCTAATTTGTCGATTGTGCCAATGTCTAAGGATTCTAGAAGAAATTGAACTTCTCTACATAAGCAAGTGAAATCAAAGGGTGTCTCTTGTTCAGATAAATCAAAATTACTTTGAGAACAGGAACAGCCATACTATTTTCTCTTATTTTCTTTAGGTCACTAACTTCTTTCACATGAAGCCTTTAATTAATCAATAAATAGTAGTTTTAATAGCATTTTGCCAGTTCCTGAATGGGGAAAAAAAAAACACTAAAATAATCAGCCCCTCTCCCCACAAAGAAGCACACAATAATGTTACTTCAGTGTATTCTTTATTCAAACACACATACAAGCATCCGTTTGGAAGGAACAAACTTCTTTCTAGCAGGAAAATCCATTAAAAGTAATATAATTACCCTCTTTTGGAAACCATGTGTGTATTTTCTCTGTAATAAAATATATAAGTTTATTCTTTAGAATCAAATCACATTTCCATCAAAAGTAAAACCAGACTTTATTACCACATTCAAACTTCCACTTGAAGCTACCTCATTTTATTAAAATTGCCACTTCTTAGTTCTAAATTCTTTTCCTGTGACCCTTAAATAAAAATGCTGTCTATGGGTCTTATTACACTTATTTTTAAGTTATATATTATAGTTATTATTCTTCCCCTGCCCTATCTTACTTTACTGTCCAGTAGTTTTGTATGGTTTCACAATGTCAGCTCCTTAAATTTGCCTGCTGAGGTAGTGACAGATGCACATTTCTTTCTAAACTGTTTATTTCATGATTCCATATTGGTTCCAGGAGACAGAGTTGATGGAATAATCTCCTGACTTTGTAACCCCAGACAATTAAAAAGTGAGTGCACATACTATTTTCAACATTTTTTGTTGAATATGCTAACCATAATTAGCCCATTTATGCTAATGTATATTTGTTCCCATGGAAATGTAAGTGTTTTAGAAGGTCCACACTCTTTGATAAGATAGGGCTAATTGCTGAAGCCTATTTATTGCAATTTGGTTAGCATCACTAATTTAGGTGACTTCAGGTGATAGGTAAAGGGCATTTATTTTTTAAAATATCTGCTTTTACCTGATTTGATTCACACAAAGCTCCATTTTCCTTGATTTGATCCACACAAAGCTCCATTCGGTCTTCTGTGGGAAATGTTTTCTTCCTCAATTCATGATGAATGGCTGATAGTAGCACCTAATTGTGGCTGACTTGAAGATAAATGATTTCAAATTAAATGCCAAGCGATGCAAAACTTTTCTTAGCAGTGATTGTTCACAAGTTCTCTGGAAGAACAGAGATCTGGGACTAATTTGGAAGTTTTTAGTTTTGATTTGGGAAATTTTAACAATGTTAAGTAAATAGAGCAGAAGAGACTAACAGACTTTATTCATTGGGCAATTAGTCTTTGTCACCCACACTTCTTGCACCTGCCACAGTATAGTCATAGAGAATATTTGATCTTCCTTCTTCAACTATTATATCTTTGAGCTAACTTATGATTGAATTGGATGAACTAAGTATCTGAGTTATCAGAAGGCCAATTTCAAAGTATAATTCCTTAATGTTTTATCTCCTCATGTTGCAGAAGGCACCATGGATTTTGTGCCATTGGATTTTCTTTGATGAACACCTTCAGTCAATTTCCAACCGTGTTGGTTAAAAGAGCACTGTATAATGGAAAGTATTTAAATAGAAGTCAGAGACTCTCAGTTCCCCTCTGTCTCTTACGAATTACTTAATCTGTCCAAGTGCCTCTCTCTCTGAGTATCTGTGCTTATCAGACCAAAGAAGGTCCTTACCGATCTAATAGATCTGATAGATGTTTTGTGAATCAAATAAGAAAGTGAAATTCTTTGAAAAAGCTTGTCCTACTAGCAAAATAACTAGCAAAGAGGTATTTGTTGGTCGTAATCTGGTAGAATCATCCAATCCTAATTCTTCATTAATAGCTATTAACCCAACTAGGATATGACTCAATGTGATAGGTCTTTATCTTCTACCTTACTTTCTAGTTCCTAGTTTTCTTTCTCTTAAAAAAAAGTAACTGGGTTTGGGCCCTCCCTGGTGGCACAGCGGGTTAAAGCACAGCACTAAGAAGCTTAAACCACTTCTGCATGAGCTCGATTCCCGCCTGCCCTGGAGGAGATCCACATGGCGTGGCAGACCTCTCCTGACCCGCCCGCTGCTCCCCTCAGCAGTGTACTTCATCGATCTGCCTGTTCTACTCCCTGCTCTGTCTCTGGTGAATCCTCTCACCCTCCGCATGTCTGGCCTGTACCCCAGTTCTGTATGAACTGGGAGTACAAAAACAGGCTACAGGTACTATTTCTGTACCAAAAGCAACTTTTAACTTGTGATATATCTAACACTGTTGTAATAGAGTCTTTGTTGCCACCATAGAAAGTTCGGTAAGAAAGTTTTTCAGAAATGTTGGCCTCTCATATTGATTATAAGTTTCTCCTATAAGCAAATGTAGAGTAAATCACTTCTGAGTTATGGCCACACAGTCTCACCCACCCTTCCCCTACACTCACTATACCACGAAGCATAATGTTTGGCTCATTGACATTATAGTCACAGCAAGTCTTCCTGATGAAGAAAGCAGCATGCTGGTTCTACTGGCACAAACCCCTTATCTCATCACGCACAGCTAACAAGCACTTAAAAAAAACAGCTGCTTGGAGTACTTTTGCCCTAGAAGATGGTGGGCTCTGTAGCAAGGTACTTCAGTGGC